GGCAGCAGCTGCTCCTTTGCCTTGGAAGACCAACAGGACGGCAGTTTTGCCCGGCTGCAAATTGGGAGTCATTGCATAAGACTTGCATCGTTGTAGAAGCAAGCCACACAGATTGGCTGCCTTTCTCTCAAGCACCAGGGGATTTCAGCTGCAAAACAAAAGCAGGAGTCGTCCATCCATGTGGGACCGAGATAGTCATCACATTCGGCTGTGTCAACATCTTCAGGATCTGGTGCAATTCCTTCACATCTGAATCCACCATGTCGAGGAACAGAATCCAGAATGCCAATCGGCTTGAGATCTGCCTCCAATTCGTGGAGAAGCCGTGCCCACAGAAAACTGAAACAGAAAACTGAAGATGAAATCAGCCCAGCAATCCCCGGGTCTGGTGCCAAGCCGAGTTCTGCATTGGTCATGTTGCCCTTGTAGATGAAAATGGGTATCGGAATGTATGGCCTGGACTACCATTTGAAGATGCTTGGGCATACCTGCTCTTTCGATGGCAGAGGCTGTGTCCAAGTGTTGATAGAGCTCTTGCAACGTGTCTGGTCCGAGCTGAAGTCGTTGGCTCATTTTTGCAATTGTCTCGTCACAAGTGATGCCTCCCATAGCCATTTCTCGCACAATGCGATAGAATGCTTCGCAGAGGTCGAGGAACACCATCCCCACATTGAGCCCTTGCTGCTTGCGTGACCTGAGAAAAGCTCTCGCCTGATGTACCCCTAGGGTAACTGGAATCTTACGCTTGCCGCCCAGTTGTTGCTTCTGAAGAAATTTCTCGAATATGTCGGCGGAGTAGGATCTCAGGCAGCGATGTATTGACTTCCCAATGCGTGACGATATAAGGATGCTGCGAAAAGATCCACATAGATCTTTCGGACCCTTTTGTTTCCACAATGGGCGCGGTCTACCACCCTTGTGCAGCAAGCACTCGTTTCCACAATGGGCGCGGTCTACCACCCTTGTGCAGCAAGCACTCATGGCCGTGCAAAAACGTTTTGAGAAGGATGGCATACGTCCGCTTCGCCAAGATGGCGGGCGCCACATGGCAAAGCGTGGCATCTATGTGATCTGGGCCAGTGGCCTTTGCAACTTGGACTCTGCGATAGGCTGCTTCGAGCTCCGTGAGGCTGGGTAGGTCATGGAGCTGCAAGTTCAATTCAGAAGCGGAAAATCTTCGTAAATTGGTGAGCCATTCATTTCGCTGTTGCTGCTCATCAATACGTTCTCCGCCCTCCATAGTTTGGAAAAAGGATATCCAAGTGTCTAGCGCCTCTGCAGGGCTTTGACAGACTTGTCCTTGGTGATTCTTCACATATGGCAGGGTCTTGGCTTTGACTTTTTTGAGGTTGGTCGGACCAATGAGGTTCTTGACTTCGTGAAGGATAGTCGCTGCCGGTGTCGTCGCAGGCAATCCAGTCAAAGCATTTTGTAGATGGTCATGTTTTGCCCGTCGTAGTCGTCCTCGAAGTTGAATCGCAAGGCAATGAAACTTGCAATAAATGCGAACTCGACTGCAAAGCAACCACGTATCATAGTGCCAAAAGAGAGAACCATTGATGGGAGCATCTGCTCGGGGACGAAGTGCCCTGAAGCAAATTTGAAGCAGTTCAAATCGCTGTCGTTTGTAAACCTCCTTGAGTGCCTTCTTGGTGGCCAATTTCTTCTCTCGTAGCTGCCAAAGTTCGGTGGTGAAGATTGGCTTCTTCGGCGCTTGTGATGGTCGTGGACAAAGTTCAGCTACACCATACAGAAGATGTTGGCTGAACTCATCTACATGAGACTCAATGTCTTGCATCCATGGGGCCGCTGGAGAGTCGACAATGGCCTGCTGGACATGCTCATAGCGTAGTCCATTGATGTCATACGATGGTGGTTTGTTCTGCTGAGATCGTCTCGGTGGGGGAAGACAATGTCCATTGAAGTTGCACTGCTGTAGCGATGTGGTCCCAGCATCCATTGCCTAAATCAAAGTCCTGGAGAACGCTACTGTGAGTACATTCATGCCGATGACATTGTTGGACTGCTACGTGGTCCAGGCAATGTTGATGGTCTCCATTGGGACTGATCCAGGTTGTGTGCGGGCCCCAGTGGCATTCTCCTGTCGCTGGGAGACATAAAACCTGAGCGGAAAACCAGGCAATCATCACAAGGACCTGGGTCTGCATTTGCGTCCATCAAGACCAATAATCGGTCTGAATCTTGCGGAAGATTTGCCTGGTGCGAAAAGGTGTTCCACCATCCTTCTCGATCAATTTGGGGATGTCCACAATGAGGAGCATGCCCTATATGAGGATCCTGAGCTTCAAAAGAGGAGTCTCAATCTGAACTGAGAGCATTCGTGGAGTGCGATGAAGAACTTGAAAGTCTTTGCTGGTCAGGTAGTATGCCTTTCGTCCAATCCAGGCATATGGAACCCGCAAGTTCACCCACATTTCGGTCCCATATTGACCATTGGCTGAACCTGATCCAAGACGTAAAACTTCATCAGTCTGTCCAAACAATTCAGGAGCTCTGGTTTCTTGGATTCCCAGGAAATTCAAATTGTGGGCGATGAACTGCTGTCTCAAATAATCCGTCTTGCCGGCATGTCCCCAGGGACCATTGTATAGGGAAGTGACATTGGCAGTACCAGCACTCAGATAGAAGTCGCATGTTCTTGGGGCTGGAAGTGAAGGCGACAACTGAGACTGGGTCTTCGTTGATGACGGCAACTGAGGCACAGGTGCATGCAGCCCTGTGGCGCAAAGAGGTGGCAGTCCATCAGGCTGGCTGAACAAAGTCCATAAATGCGGAATGATGGGAATCCATTCTTGCATAGCCAGATTTTGTCGTGGACAATAAAAGCTCTTCTCTCTGTCGGTGCGCGCGAGCCAATCGGCCATCTCGTTGAATGGTTCCCCTGTATGGCTGTGGATGTGCTCAATTTCCAAAGCCCCTTGGGGTAAAGCTGCTTCCAAAGCCTGAAATAGGCCACGAAAGACATTGAAAGATATTGTCCTCTCAGAGCAGCAGAGCAGCCCATGAGACCCATTGCCTGTTGTGCCGATGTGAGGGAGTCACTACGAAATAGTGTGTCCACTCGAGAGTTCTGGGCGAGTCGCCATAGTGCGGCCCAAGCTAATGCTTCCCTTTCGGCAAGATAGGAGCCAACTCCATCAGCTCCGATGAAATGATCACTGCTCTGGTCGTAGATCACTGGTTGTGTGGTCCAGCCCAGAACCTCGACCTTGTGTGCTGCAGCAGTGAGGGTTTCACCGAGCACAACAAATGCCCAGGAGTCCCCATGACCGCTTTCGTCATTCCAGGCTGGTGGCCTGTGACGGTCTCTTGCTTTGGAAGAGCCGTCTGTGTATACAATGATTCGGTCGTAATCATCGATGCATGTTGACGCACTCATTTTCAGAGCTGCCATAGTCACATCCGGAAATGCATATCCCGTAGGGTCACGGCATAACATGCCTTCAGTCGACTTGAAAAGGTGCATCAAGTCGTGCAAGGGCATGCCAAAACCAACGACACAATCATCATCAACAATGTGAGTCGCTGGTGTGAAGAAGGGTCCTCGTGCTCTAACAAGATGTGAGCTTGCCGGCCATACTGGTTTGGTTCTGCTGTGAATGGGGAGTGCAGCCTGCTGGACTTGTACATTCAGAAACTTGACTCGATAGAGTCTAGTTTTCAGCGTCTCGACAGACTGAATGGTGGCGCGCCAGTAACCGCAGTCATATAGAAAACGCATCAAATCAAGTTCTGTCATAGTTTTCTGCTGGGAGTGAAGAAATCTGCCCTCTTGATCCGTGAGGTCGGAGTGACAGAACATGTAGTGGTGAAGACAATTTTCAGCGTTCCATCCACAAGGCAAGCATAATGCCACATCATGTTCTCCAAAGCGATAAACATCACAACTTTGTCCCCAGAAGCGCAACTCCGTGGCGATGTCATCTTCACACCACTGTGCCTGACATTCGACAAAGGTCGGTAAGGGTGCCATGTCAGCACTTGGTACAAGTCGAATGGCAGTCTGCGCTGTGGGCTAATACCCTGTTGATGGCTCACAAGCACAGTGAGCGCACTGCCATGGGAAAGCCTCGCAAAAATATCTTGTGAAATAGGTTCATCTCCCCACCAGATGTCGCATTGAACATTGTGTGGAAGTCCATTTTGAGCATCAGGTAGAACTGTTTGCAGAACATTTTCGTGAGTCGCTGGATGAGCAAGGGTCGCCACAAAGTGTCTGGGTGCAGAAGAGAAAGACTCATCATCTGTGGCCGTGAAATGAAAACTGCGTCGATCTGGTACAGGGTGCTGAACAATGAGAACATGTGGTGTCAGGCTGTCTTCCCAATAATTCATTTGGGGACGAGGTCTGATCATGTATAAATGAAAAGCTTCGTCTGGATCAGCACGATCATCCCACGCCTCAATGATTTGTATCATCCATTGTGTCAGATCAGCAGATAATCGGACCTCACGAGCATCTTGGCAATGTGGCCATCTTTCTGCATCTGCATACCATGTCATGATTTGAAGATGTCGTTCATCTTCTAGCGTCTGGTGCTCCCACAGTCCCCGAAGTTCTGCTAGGCAGTTGTGGACCTCTCCAAGTTGGATGTCAATGAATCCTTCTGGGTGAACTGGGGGCTGTTGTTCTTGGGACTGATCAATGGTAAATGCTCTATCTGGCGCTACTCCATCATCTGGCAATTTGCACTGTGATGGGGCTGTTGCTATCTGATTCCATGGCCGGTGAGTATGAGCCACCTGCTCACCTGTTGGGCGCACATGGTTCAGTTGGAACATGGTCGATGTGTCATTGACATCACGCACCGTGTGATCAGCGCGCAAGTGTTCAATGGACAACTGCAAATGTGTTCCTGAAACAATATGGATTGAGAATCCTGCCTGCAAGTAGAAACCTGCCCATGCTAATTGGCATACAACTCTGGGTTGCCCACAGATGTAGATCATGCCAGTCTGAGTGAGAAAAGATTCAAGAGTCATCGGTTGTTCAAAAAGGGCTGCAAATCGCATTTGTGGTTCATGTGCGGCTCCTGGTCCATGTTGACTAAACAGGCAGCCAGCCTGATTTGGTGTGACATCTTGTAGAAGGATAAGGTGCCCTCCATGTCTTTGATCTGGAGGCCCAGGTTGCACCAAAACCAACGTAGCCACACGCATAGCATCAGCTCGGTCTGACCAGACTTGTCGAAGTCTGTGAATCCATGTGCTGGTATCAGCCGGCAGCGCTGCAAGTCTGGGGATGTCACACCGATGGAAACCTCGATTGCTGAGGAACCAGGTGTCAAACAACATCACTTCTGAACGGTCTGGAAAACGTTGCCGTAGGTGTGGTCGATTCCAGAGGAGCTGAAGTTGTTCTTGAAGTGCAGGAGGCAAAAGATCTCTCAATGGTCTTCGCTCATGAATTGATCTGGTTCGAATAGAACATTGATGTGTCGCCGTGCTGTGGAATTGGCCACCGTCAGTGGCGATAACTCCTGCATACTTCTGAAAAAGCGATGTCTGCTCCGTGGATTCAAGTGGACAGTCGGAGCCAAAGAGATAGTCGAAGTCATCATCTGGGCTCCAGGGAAGATGAAATCGAATATAATCACCAGAGGCTAAATGTAGCAAGTGGTTGGCTTCAATGTCAATCACTCGATTGTTGTGCCACAAAGAACATCGCCTGTATCTGGGTGCACAATGGCCCTCATATCCCAAAAGCCTGATGACCGAGATGGCATTGCAGTGATGAGGAAGCCAGAAACCTCTGCGGACAATTCGAAGGGCTGCTCCGCGATGGTCTGGACGATATTCAATATCTGCCAGCACAAGACTTAGTAATGAAGAGCTAGGTGCACCTTGCAGTCGTTGAAGAAGAAAGCATTCAAGTTCTTCTTGGAGTAAATCTTGTGGTGTCGCAGCAACATAGTGAAGTTCGGTGACTTGATCACGAGCCAGGGAGAAAGCCTGAGCAACTCGTTCAACTCGCAGTTGCACATCTGTCCATGGCACATCAACCTGGACAGCATCGCCTTCGACTGTATAAATCATCGCCAGTCGCCAGGTGTCCTCTTCTTCTGCATTGATGGGATCCGCAGAAGCAGCTGAGCGGCTTCGACTTCTGTCAGTTGAAGAGGAGCTGGTTGCTTGTGGAGCTGCTGTGAGTTGCGCACTGGAACGTGCCATGAGGTTGAGAGCATTGTCATCCTCAGGAAAGTGCATATCAGGAGCAGGTTCTGCACGAAATCTCGCAAAGAAAAGTTCTTGCCATTCTTGGTCAGTGAGCCTTGGGGGAATGCTAATCACAATCCCCAGTCCATCAACCAATCGCAATGGTCTGGTCTGATCAAATTCAAAACGACCAGCCATGATGGTGCAGACTCCATAGCCTTGTTGTTGAACTTCATCACATGCTTGCAAAGCCCCTGCATGCCAAACTGGGAGGGGTGAGCTGCTCAAATGAATGTGCAGATTCAACACGTCTTGGAGATGGAATGTCGTCATACATGGCGGCAACAACACATGCCACTCTTCGAGGAACGGGGTGTTGTGTGAGCACGACCGTGGCAGCTACCCCACGCGTCACTGGCAATGGTTGGGCCCTTTTCCTGCCGCTGGTGCTGCAGCTTCAGCTCCGGCTTCAGCAGTTGGAGCGGCCTCCCGAAAATCTGCAGCCGGCTCCGCCGCTGGAGCTGCAGCTGCGGGTCCTTTTCCAGGACCCTTGCCGCCCTTCCTGGGTGAACCATCCGTCAGCACTCCACGCTGCGTCATGGTTTCGGTGATGCTTTGGGTGATAACGATGGCTCGCCGTACCCTTGGGCCCTTTTCCCGGTGCATCTTCCGATACTGCAGCGCCCATGAACCTCTTCGGTCGATTGTTTCAGGTGGACGCTCTGGGCCGTGCGCTCCGACTCTTGAGCCAAAATGGCTACGGTGTTCAACAGTAGTATCAACAAATGGCTATATATATATGTATGTACGGTATTCAACAGTATAATATCTAGGTATCTCTGAATATCTCTGAAAATAGGACATAGGATACCGCTAGAATGGACTTAAAATGTCACTGCTTATGGCAAACATGTGGTTTTAAACCATGGGTGGGATTGAAAGTTTGTACCCTATTTTCAGACAAAGCCATATGGCAGTTGACCACAATGGGTATATGAAAGCGACAACCACCGTTTCGGTGAGATAGACGAGGCTAGGTCTTGGAATATGAAATCCCAATAGTCTTGCTAAAGCCGGCTGAAATATCCACAACAACAATCCTGGTAGCTATCATGAGCAAAATCAACATCTGTAATCTAGTAACGTCTAATCACACTAGTTGCAAGTTGGAAGGGTTCTTACTTAACCGTCTATTCATGTCTATTCTAGAGAAGCATCCGTCTATCCTTTAGAAGCTGCAGTCCTGAGCCCGGGTCCAAATGGTATGTTTTTGCTAAGTTAACATTTAAAAAATATATATAGATATTTCTATACTCCCAAGTTGGGATAACAACTCATTCCAACACTGAATCACCAAATAATTATATAAGTCCAAATTAAGTCCAAATATAACTTAGACTTGACACATGCGCAAGTTCTTGCTTGTGAAACCCCCACGCAAAATGTTTAGGTGCTTCCGAGTGACAGCTGCATAGGCTCCGTCCACTTTTTGAGCCTCGAGTTGTGTGCTGAAAGACCGCTTAATGGAAGGTGCATTCCCTTGAAAGCACAACCTAAACTGCGAACTAAAATGATGACCTACAAAAAATTACAAAAACATCTTCAAAGGATTGTGAATCAATATGAATCGATATGAATCAAAGATGGCATATTCCCTATATTCCCAGTGCAAACTGGACAGTTAGTGCCACGGGCAGAGTGGAACACCCATTGCCAGGTTGGGACCAACTGCCATGGTCCAAGCCTTTGGACGAGCGGCTAGCGATGCTGATCTCGGAACCAGCGGATTTCTACCCCAGCAAGGCTAAGTCCTAAAACAAAATGGTTGTACCAGTGGTACCAAGGATTGGTTCAACTCATCCATAAAAACACCCCCAAAGTTGGATGGATCAATCATGATCAATCCATCTTAGTGGCCAACTTGAAAAATCTCATGGCTTGAATAGCCAGGTACCCGTCCCACCAAGTTGCGATCCATGTCAGGACCCCACCTGAGCGTACATGGATGGGTAATGGCTATGATCATCCATGAATTTAATGAATTGCAACACTTACTAGCAAGTACCCTCTGGTAAACTAACATAGCTATTGAAAATGGCCATTTATAGTGGATTTACCCATTGAAAATTGTGATTTTCCATAGTTATTTGGAGCCATCATCCCAGTAGATTGACTTGCTACTTCTTCCTCCAACTGCTGAGGATCGCCACGCTGGAGATTGTGGCAGAAATTCTACTGCCATAGACACAATCTACACGTACACAGAGTGTGACTTAGCAGTGCGCTGAGAAAGCATTCCCTCTAGTGAACTGTCTCATGAGAATACAGAATGAGACATCATTACTCAGCAACAAGTTGGTGTAATTCAAACTTTAGCATCCCCTAGGACATGTACTGCAGGTTTCGGTCACTGGTAATGCTTAATCATTCATAATTGTTCTTTCTTACTCGATTTTCGCATCCAGGTATATATCCAGGTCAATCTCGACATTCGTTTCAAACCCGCAGCAGTAAACCAGTAAGCATAGCGGGGGTACTTCATGGTCCTTCTTGTGACCCAGGAAACCCCAACCATAAGGAACGGCCAAGTTTTGGGCCAAGGGACCATAGTGGACGTGAAAAACGCCTTCCCATTCCCAATCCTCTGTCCACGGGCAACTGGCAGCTTCTGTAGGCACCCTGAGCGAAAAGTCGCTGCCGGGAGCTGTTGCGCTGTTGCAGTCTCCGAACATGTTGGATGTACCCATAGTTCACGTCGGAAACATGATGATAAACATTGATAAACCATGAAATTTGGGGGTTCCCAAACCCATCTGATAATGTTGGCTGCCGAAAGCACAAATTGGATCTAAATTTGTGGATTTCGGCTGCCGCCTCACTTTTGGGAAATGACATATCGTGTCTCTGCTGTATGGGTTTGTCTGAAAACATGGTGCTACAAAATTACAATGTTTTTATCATCAGTTTCCGGATGAAATTGCCATTTTGAGGTATTCGCCACGGACAAACCCAGTTTCCCTTCAAGGTGACTCCCCCTGCTTTGTCGGTTCAACTTCTATGTTTGATGGTTAAAATGCCCATCCAACATACTGCCCTGCAGCCCAGAGAACAGCACGGCCATCACAGACAACAGTTTTTTCATCGCGGCCATGGGCGCCCCGTTCGCCGGCGAAAGGCAGAACCCAGACTGGTCTTGGACCAAGGAAGGGGGGCCTGAGCCAAAAGTTTCAGATATTTCTCAGACATTGGACCAGCAACCTGTGAGCCCCAGGAAGTGGATCTGAAAGGTCGCTGAAACTGTTTTAGGGCCTTTTAGGGACTCATTCTCATCATTTCTCACGTTTTGGGCTTTGGATGGCTTTGGTGGCGGTACAAAGAAGGGTTCTAGCCTCACCAAAAGGACCCCCAGGAGAACTACCAGCTGAATAGGTATGGCTCCACCAACTCATTCAATGAGCATGTGGGTCTCTGGGTCACTCCTTCAGAGGTATTTATAGATTATTGCTTCTATAGCAAATTGAATGCAAATTGTAGGTCAAACATGGTCAAACCCTTGAACTCACTTAGTTTCATGTCTGCATTCTCTCGGACCTTGTTTGTGCAGTTGCAGTGACGATTCTCGAGGTTTGCCGTGATGTATTTCTTGGGCAAGTCTCCATGTTTTGGGACGTTTCAGGCCAAGAAGAGCAAATGACTTATCTGCAGGGTGCCACTTTTGAAGTTTGCGAACTGATTTAAAATGCCTTCATGATTCTTCAGCGAACTTGGATCCATTATATCGAAGCATATCCATTCAAAACTCCTGACACGGTACGACAGGCTTAATCGCGTGACGCCAATAGATCAGTTCGCACACCTTTCACCCAACATATCCCAAAATGATGCTGGTCGGGGGCCAGAAGTCTATCGAGTTCTCGGATTTCGGTGGAATCATTGCAGTGGAGTTGCCGGTGCTTCCTATGATTTGCGATTTACAAAGCGATCTCACCCACCATATGTACGATATGTGGCTGCTGCCAATCCTGGGGAGATGTATTCTAAAGTCATCTCAAGATTCTGGATCTGATTGGTGCTAAAAGGCACATAAAAAAGGTCTGGAACCGCCAACCACTCCTTTTGCATCACGACATATCACGACCCTTCAATAATGATGACACTTAACATCACTTAACATCACTTAACACTGCTGGAAAAAATGCCGGAAGAAATTACGAGGTCAATTAGGATCATCATCCCAGGGCGATGGGGTAAAACATAGCTACCACCAAGCGTTGTTTGATGCTTCCCAAGGTAACGGTGCGACTGAGTCCTCACCCAGGCTACCCAACCAGGCGTGCATCCTTCATGGCAGCTCGGAAGGCCTGTGCCATGAAGGTGACAATCTTTATATGGCACAAATTATAGTTTTTACTGATTGGTGGTAATGATTATTAGTCAGTTGGGATGATGACATTCCCAATGATAATTCCATATATTATTCCCAATATGGAAAAATATAATTTCCAAACCACCAATCAGTTTATATATATATATATATGTTTATGGTATGAAAATGTATGACGCCTGGCATTTTTGGGAGTCACAAATGTTGACCCAACATGACCCAGCACCGTGCCTCTGATTTCCTCAGTGTTTGAGGGGTGTCACAAGATGCAACAAGATCAACAGCAACCTATGTGGAAAGGGACCAGAAAATGACTTGACTGTGGCATACTGTGGCATAAGAAGTCCAAAGGCTTCATCTTCCCATTTTGATGTTCAACTTCGGGTGACTCGTCGTCACCGAGTTTGCTAGTCGAATGCTCTCTAACAGTGTTGGCATCCTGCTGGGAGTTGGCGCAATCTTTGATACCAGTGGAATTGGAGCTGATGGAGCTGGAATTGATAATCTTCACAGCTGTAAAACCTAGTCTAGGAGATACACATCTTGCCTCCTCAAGGAAATTCTATGTCAAAAAAATGATACAATGATTACCTGCACGAGTGACTAAATCCTTCTACTGGACATCGTCAGACTAACAAGCTTTACGCCTCAAAGGCAGTGGACGCATAATATCAGTTCACGGATGTTTCATCCTACAGCCAGGGTCTTTCCACTTATATATATCAAAAAGGCAGTCCTGGGTTTTGATTTGTGGGATGTCATGGTGATGCTATGCCAAAAAGCCATGCATATAGCCAACAATAACCAAAAAGGTAACCGGTCAAAACCAAAACATTCAAACAAATGAGTGGCAGAGTGATCGAAGTATATCTTTCCCACCAAAACTCTACTATTTGTTTCATCTTCGGGATGTTAATGAATAAGCAAAACACACATTCAGAAGGAGAAGTCAATATCCCTTGCATGCTTATTCTAGCAAAAAATCTTCAGGATTGTACCTGAACTGGTGTTGCGCGCCGGACATCAATCCATCCAAAGGACTCATAGCACTTAACCAACCGTCCCATCAGTGAAGCGGGAGTTTTGAATTCAGAATCAGAAGATTCGGAGAGATAGATATTCATAATTCATCATAATTCATAATTTGATGAGTTGGGTCCCAGTTGGGTGTCTCAACTTCTCAACATGCACCGAGATCCAAGGCCCCAAGATCACCGAGATCCACCGAGTCTCTGTCGCCAGTTGCCCTTCTTCCCCTCGGCGCTGGCTGCATCCGGAGCGGCCGTTGGAGCGGCGCCCTCGGCCAGGCGTTGTTGGACCTGAGTAGCTGGGAGAGGGTTGAGACATTGATCATATGTACATGTACAATATTGATCAATATTGTATATATATATATAATTATATATATATATAGTATACACATAAACATACGTATATTGTCGTAGATCTACATATACAAGTATTATATGGTGTAATATTATATGGTATATAGTATACATATATATATAAGATTATATAAGTATATCATGCAAACATATAGATTGAAATCACATTTATCTATATCTACATAAGATCTGTAAGTCTATGTGGCTATGAGTCAAAACCCTGGCACCCTAGGTACCCCAAAATAGCTGGTCAATGGATGTTTATTCCCCCAAATTTGGGAATAGTAGGTTTTGACGCATCCCCATGTCTCTATAAACATAGCCTGATTTCGGACGATGAATGTGTCACTGACAGCTTCACAACCTGGGGCATGGACGACATCAAATGTCTTCCGTTTCTGGCGGAAGACTTTCTGGCAAATCACCATGTGCCTTGGGATGTCTGGCTTCCGACCACTTGAGAACCCGAAATTTCTTGTCACGTGTACTTCGGTCGCATTGCCATTGTGCCACATGTTTGTAGTCATTGCCAAACGCATCATTGATTACGTGTTTCTCAAAGGCAGGTGACTCAATGATAATTTCTGCACACAGAAAGGCGCAAGTTCTAGTGACTAGTGGGTTATTAGAGTCCGTTTTTCCGAAATTATGTTGTTCGACTTGTCCTTTACCTTTCCGAGCTGAATCCCCCATTGTGCAGGCTCAACATCTTTTTCTGGATCTTAACTAGTTAATGGTAGTGTATATTCTGTATATTAGTTATAATATGTTATAATTACCATATTTATCAAAGAATGTTTCGCCATTATCATGGCCATCCCTCGCCTCTTCAAGGCCTGCTGGTTGAAGTTGCGACCACAATGGATGCACTCCATGAGGTCCAAGGACTCCAAAGGGCTTGGAAGATGATACTGTACCAATGGGAGATTGATTTGGGACATCCATAGATTTGTATTATATATATATATAGTATATATATATAGTATATATATAGTATATATATAGTATATATATATAGTATGTATATATATATATATGGTATATGTACATTTATGTGTCTGTATCCATATATATATATGGTATATATATATATAGTATGTATATATATATATGGTATATGTACATTTATGTGTCTGTATCCATATATATATGGTATATATATATATATAGTATGTATATATATATGGTATATGTACATTTATGTGTCTGTATCCATATATATATATGGTGTATATATATATAGTACTATTAGGGTCCAGCTTGTGGAAGCCGAGTTTTATGCATAATCCCAGCCCCCATTTTTGGGTTCCCCGTGTAGGCTAGTGTTAGTGTCATCTCTTTGCAAGCATGTGCTTGCAGCGTGCAACCCTGAAGCAACTGTCAGAAGACTCTGCAAGCTTTTGGCCAGAAGGAACTTGCCCTGGGTGACCCTCACCTTGACGCACTTGCTGCGAAGCCATGTCGTCAGAAGCAGCACCTGCTGATGTTGCGGCCGTTGCGCCGCCGGCAGACCGTTTGGCAGATTTGAAAGCAGCGCGACAGGCGCTGAAGCGGCAGTTGGCGCAAGCAGACAAATGGGCTGCGCAGCGAATGGCCGCTCGGAATGAGCACGGACACGCCAAGCGGCAGCGGTGGAGAGCTTCATTTGCACAAGCCGACAGGCCGCAGATTTTGCGCGACATGTTGCCGCAAATTCCTGTGAAGTTTGCACGTGCTGCACGTGACCTACTGGCAGGGTGGCATGTCGAAGAGCCGATTGTCAACGAGCCATCGCCGCAAGCATACAAGGGCACTGGTACTATGTTCCGATACAGTGGCTCCTTTAGCATGATTGAGCATCAACCTTCCTTGGACCTGCTTGCGGCAGGACCATCTGTCGACATTGATCTGCTCAGTGCCGGCCTACGAAACGCACCGCAGGTGCTTGCCATTTGGGATGACTTTCAAAGTTGGATGACCGAGCTCGGCAACAAGTACCGCTTTGAACGGGTCAGCACCGCCCTGGAGCTCCACACAGAGGTGACGCTGCAACGCAGAGTGCCTTCCATTCACTTGCACATGATGTTTGACACCCGCGACTCGGCAGCAATGCGGGCACCTCTCTCGCAAGCCTGAATCATGTCATTTTATCTTTCATTCCCAGTGCCAGTCATTCTTTTTCGCAGCCCAATGTGAGGACGCACCTTCCCCATACTTTTCGGTCCTGTTTCATGTTTGGTTCTGATGGCTAACAGAACCAGATAGGCTCTAGCACCGTACCTTCCTGGCCCATGCACCCGCATGTTGCGGCCAGGGCGACAAGTGCATCTGTCTGGACAAAGTTTGGCATTTCGTGGGTGCAAGCCGCACATCTCCTTGGATTCCTCGCAGGCTCGTGGGCGGTCAGTCCGTCGTGCACTGGATCAAGGGCACTTTTATCTCCAAG